TTCACACTTCCCGCTTTGCAGTTCATCCAGGTGGTACTAAAATGTATCACAATTTGAGACGTCAGTATTGGTGGAGCGGGATAAAGAATGATGTTGCACAGTTTGTGGCTAGATGCCTTACCTTTCAGCAGGTGAAGGCGGAGCATCAGAAGCCAGCAGGTTTGTTGCAACCATTACCTGTAGCGCAATGGAAATGGGAGCATATTGCTATGGATTTTGTGACAGGTTTTCTAAGGTCAAGAAGGGGCAATGAGGCCGTATGGGTCATCATTGACAGATTGACCAAGACGGCTCACTTTTTGCCTATTAAGGCAACAGATGATGCAGAGAAGCTTGGTGTTCTTTATGTGAAGGAGATTGTAAGGTTGCATGGAGTTCCTGTAACCATTGTGTCAGATAGGGATGCTAAGTTCACTTCGAAGTTCTGGGAAGGACTTCAAGTAGCGTTTGGTTCAGCGTTGCATCTTAGTACGGCATTCCATCCACAGACGGACGGTCAGTCGGAGCGTACTATCCAGATTTTGAAGGATATGCTTCGGGCATGTGTGCTTGACTTGGGTGGTAGTTGGGAGGATCACCTTCCACTTATTGAGTTTGCCTACAACAACAGTTATCAAGCGAGTATCCAGATGGCTCCATTTGAGGCGTTGTATGGTAGACCTTGTAGGTCTCCTATTTATTGGACTGAGGTAAGTGAGACAGCCGCCTTAGGACCCGACATTGTACTCGAGACTACTGAGAAGATTAAGTTGATAAAACAGAGGTTACTTACAGCTCAGAGCCGACAGAAGAGTTATGCGGATAAGCGGAGACGACCGTTATCCTTTGAGGTGGGAGACCACGTTTTTCTATGGGTTTCTCCACGGAAGGGATTGATGAGATTCGGAAAAAGTGGCAAGTTGTCGCCACGATTTATTGGACCGTTTGAGATTTTGGACCGAGTAGGAGAGGTTGCCTACAGGCTTGCTTTGCCACCACAGTTGGATAGGGTCCACAATGTTTTCCATGTATCGATGTTACGGAAGTACGAACCGGATCCATCTCACATTTTGAGTTGGGTAGATGTGGACATTGATGAGGATGTTTCCTACGAGGAAGGACCAGTTCAGATTCTTGACACACAACAGAAGGTGTTGAGGAACAAGACGATACCAATGGTGAAAGTCATTTGGAGACACCACGGAGTCGAGGAAGCTATTTGGGAGCTCGAACAGGAGGTTCGGTCCAAGTACCCAGCGTTGTTTTCTTCCTCAGGTATGTCTTGATTTCGGGGACGAAATCCTTATAAGTTGGGGAGAATGTGATGGCTATGTATTTATTGTGTATGTGTAATGTAAAATAAAAGTAAAAGAAAAATAATTTAATGGTGGGGCCCACAAGGCACTTTAGAAAAGGGTTAAGACCATAAAGTTGGTCTCATTTTCCTGATTCCCTTTCTCTCTCTTCGTACATCTCTCTCTCAACCCGTAAGCTCATTTTTCTCTTATTTTTTGGTTTCAACTTTGAGGTTAGATTTCTCACTCATTTCTTGTTGGAATTAGGTTCCGTTTGAGGCAAAACGAAGCTCGTGTCAAGCTCTATACATCCATACCATCAATTTTCAGTTTTGAGTCTTCCTTTGAGCTCGAATTTGAGGACCCATTTTCTAGGGTTTTGGTGCAATCTTGAGGTAGGGGCCCTTAATTTATGAAATCTTGTACCTTAGTGAGTTAATTGCCTCTAATTGTTGTTTAATTTGATTAGTTGTTTAAGATCTAGAGAATTGTTGATATGTATGCATATATGTTAGTTGTGTGACTATATTTGTTGATGGTTCTATGTGAAGCATGTTTAGGACTTGATTATATATGTTCATTGTGCTAGAACTTGTTATGTATAAGCATGTTATGACTTTCTTGATCATTCTTGCGAATTATGCCATGTTGCTTAAATTGGATAAAGTATGAAATGATGAACTTGTGTATGTCATTGAGGTATTCATGCATTAACATTGGGCAGGAAAAGGGAAAGAATTGATTTACTTCAAAAAGGGGAAATTTCGGGAAAGTGTTTTTGATGAAATGATTTTATGCGAAACCCGGTCGCTGCGGGGTTACCAACGGGCCGGAGGTTAATATAGCCTAGAGGGGACTAAGGAGTCGCCCTAGTGTGGTTGAGCTAGCTGGGCCCTATAATGACGCCGCGGGGTTACCAAGGGTCAGGGACACTAGCCAATCCTCCTCTCGTGTCGCGGCGGGGTTACCAAAGGGCGGGCTGTATCAACGTTTGAAAGTGATGGTTTTGAGAATGAAAATGGGGAGTGTCACTGACATGCATTGCATTTCATTGCATTGCATTGTTTATGATTGGAATTGAATGGTATGTTGTATTTGATCCCCTACGTTGTATAATCCCTATCTCCCATTGGCCTATGCTTTGCTTGAATTCACAAGGACACAAGATTTGTGTCTTAAGTGTCTCTGCTGAGCTATATGCTCACCCCTATATCTATATGTTTTTTTTCAGGTCTTGGAAAAGAACCGGTGGATGACAATCCACCACAACTTTGAAAGATGCTAGAGGAGCATTTTCCTTGTTATTTTGTAATAGACTACTCCTTTGTTCATCCCTCATTTTTTGTAAAATTCCAAAGGTGTAATGATGTAAATTTCTTTTGAAGAACCATGATCATGTAATACACTTATGATACTTGATGACATATGGGATGCGAACTTGATGATATGTAACTTGTTGATGAATGGAAGGATAATCCTAGCTTGAAGCATTGTCTAGATTAGTAGGTTGTATCATTATCTTTTGTTGCCGTGAATTCGGAAATTCGTTGCATGACAGGTTAAATATGCATTTAAACAGGTTGCGGTAGGTCCATTTTTAGGGGAGGTTATGCCAAATTTTTTTTAAAAAAAAAATTCTTGGCATTAGTTTTGGGATCGTTACAAACCCCCTTGTCTATTTTTTTACCAAAGAACCCTCCTCGCCTCAATTATCTAAAGGGGGTAAAAGAGTTAATATTTGGACCAAAATACCCTTTTATTTAAATCTTAATTCTTCCGAAATTCAAAAATTCATATCACACAAACCGTATACTTAAAAATTGCAAATAATATATGCACAGAAATCTTATGAAATAAGGATTCCAAAAATATAAAATTTGTATAACAAATCTTCATAAGCAGATAATAGGTAATCTAAAAATCTACTCTAACAATCTTATTTTATTTTTTTAAAAATACTGGAGATATTTGTAAGAAAATTTTTAGAATTATTCATTTAAATATAGAGCCGAATATATAAAAAAAATTAACCCCAACAGAGATCAATATCATATTTTGCGTCAAAGTATTTTCATTCTTTTATTGACTCACCATTTAAAAATAAAATAAAAATAAATATTCGGTCTCTATTGGGGATAAAACTTTATATGCTATGCTCAATATGAAAATGAATAGTTCTAAAAAATTTCTTGCAAATAACCCGAGTATTTTATAAAAAATAAAATAAAATAAAATTACCGTAGTAGATTTTTTTATTGTCTATTTCCCTCTAGTTTTGAGGTTTTGTTAAACAAATCTTATATTTCTGGAATCCTTGTTTTATAAGATTTTCGTGCATATATTATTTGCAATATTTGGATATACGGTTTGTGAGATATGAATTTTTGAAATTTGAAAAAATCAAGATTTAAATGAAAATGCATTTTGGTCCAAATATCAACTCTTTTACCCCCTTTAGATAATTGAGGGGGGTTCTTTGGTAAAAAATTATACAAGGGTGATTTATTGGAAAGGATTACAAGTTGAGGGGGGTTCTTTGGTAAAAAAATTAGATGAGTGGGGTTTACTGGAAAAGGTTACAAGTCAAGGAGGGTTTTCTGTACTTTGCCCTAAATTATATACTGAATGAGCAAATACTTTTTTAAAAATAAAAATAAAAAAATAAAATCCTATATCTTTCAAATTCAGCAAATAAGGATATTTTGTCAATTTGAAAACTAAAATATCTAAAATGTCTTTAAGATAAAATAAAAAAACACTGATTATTAAGGGTACTTGGGGGTTTTAAAAAGATGGAAAGGGGGTTCTGCAAAGATGAATTTGGTAAGTATTACAAAATTGAAATAGCTAGGCACCAGAGTTAAGGTCTAGAAAATATAAGCAGGACTACTTTTTATGAGGGCTCATTGCATGATCTTCTATGTTGGTCTAGGATTTTAGGCTGAAACAGTTAATATAGGCTGTTATTTGGTTATATATTAAGACACATTCAATAAAAAGAAAATATGAGATTAAGAGAGAGTAAAGAAACTTCCGACTTGTATAATGGAGAGGCAAACAACGTTTCGTAAGCCATTGCAATCTCCCAACTTGTCATTCTGTCGGATTAAAGGCTTCAAAATACAGCCCCAAAGCTCTCCATGAACAAATTTACAGGGCAATCGTCAAGTCTAGTGTCTATATTGACGTACAACCCGGTTTTTATAGGCTGGATTCACTCCTATTAATTAAATATGTGTGTTAAGAAAAGGTATAGTTTACCCTTACTGGTGTTTAACCCCCCTTTCACATTTTAAGTTTTAACGTCAAATTTTTAATGACCAATAAAGAGATTCACATTACAACTCTAAGATAAGTGTACGATGAAGATGGACTATTTGTAGCCTTGCCATTGTTCAAAAGCTGAGTAAAGAGTAAAATGAGCTCACAGACTCATTGGAAGGCCATAGTGAGTGTGAACGGTGAAGTCCTGAGTCCTAAATCTCCTAGTTCAACATTTTTTTTCCCTGAGAATAAAGCAACTGATATATAAATAAAGATAATTGCATAGAATGGGCCTTTGGCCAAGACAGTCCAAAACTTGGAAAAGACACAAGCCCAACCTGGGCGCCCACACACACAAACCATTCCCACATTTCAATTCATAATCCAAGCAAGACTGCAACTAAAAATAACTGATAAATTTTCTCTTTCAATTTTAATAGTGATCGAGCCATGCAAAAATCACATATTCTGTAATCATTTCTGTACAGCATCTACCAAAAGCCTAGCTTACAACAAAATTAACCAGTAATTCAGCCACTAGTCTCTGAATTTTTCCTTCCAGTAGCTCGAATATAACAGAAAACCGCCACCAGAAACGTGGTTGCAAGGCCCCCAAGGATCACCCCACCCCCTGCAATTGACTTGTCCACTGAATGATGATGCTTCTCAAGTATATGCATCTCCTGCCCCGGAACAGCTCCATTTTCTTGATCCAAAGAACTGAAATCCTCCCTAGAATGCATCTTCTCCTCAGTTTGAGGCCCCTCGGATGGGCTCAAACACGGTGCAGCCAAGGCTGGCTGGTGCCTCCCAAGCTTTCGAATTGCTGGTGCTTCTGCTATGCTCAGTTTTCTCTCGTGTGATGGCCTAATTGCCGGTGTGCTTGTGAAAGATGCCACATTATGCTCCACCATGCCATGAACCATTTCACTAGCCATGGCTAGGATTAAGCAAATTGCAAAAAAATGAGCCATTATGAGAAATTAATTGGAGTTTGAAACTGCTTTGTGTTTGTGTGTTTCAATGCAGGTTATATATATAGGGGTTAGCATTAGAATGATCCCAAAACCGCGTGGTTTGATGGAAACTTCCCTTTGTTAATTGCAGGAATTGTTTTTGCAGTTTCTTTAGTAGCTTTTATTGGGTTGTCGGCAAAGTAGGAAAAATCAATGAAGATTACACGTGTAAGCATTAGAATATTCGAAATACAACTGTGATTACAATTAAGGGAACAAGATCTCTACTATGTTTATTTGTACAATTTAACTTAAAAGTTGAATCATTAGAAAAATTAAATTAAAAAATGAACGCTCTGTTAGCTATTAATGCACACTCATATACAGGAAGATGATGAGAGGTTAGTATTTGGAAAATGTGTGACCGGCCATAGTAATTCATTCCATCACTAGGTTCAAATTTACATGGCATTTGGAGGCAGAACCATTCACTGCACTGAACCATTTCATAAACTCGAGCCATCACCGCCAAAGATCATTGGGAATGTTAAACAACTTGGGATTTTGATCAAACCCAAAAATTTTAATATTGTAATGAGGTTACTAGTCATTCATTAAAACTCATTTAAAGGCGTACTCATTATAATTTTTCGTTAATTGATGGGACGCTAAAATGGATATAGATCTATTTTTTTTTCATATTGTGAATGCAAACTGAATCCCTCAAATTCGAACACTCAAAAATTTCACCAGTACACCAAGTGCAGGTGGTATCTGAAGTTATTCAATTTCCAACACTTCACTAAGTGGTGCTTATTTCCTAATCACTTCAATAAACAATTTTTTAACTTCAGAAACATTTGGCTGTTTAAACAACTAAATGTTTCCACTATAGTCTGTTTGGTTGTGAAGAAAATGGAAGAATCAATTGAACTTGTTTATCATACCAACACAATGTGGAGATAAAAAATGACAGGGTTATCTCTTGTCTGTAAACATCTGAGGCAAAAAATGTAACCTACAAGTCTCACTAGACAATAAATTTCTAATGCTTTATTTATAGAAAGACCAAGAACCAAGTACCTACCAAGATATATATATGCTTCAATTATTATGTATGCAGAAATTTATCTATCTGTATCTAATCTTAATGGTTGGTTCTGAAATTTTTAGATGATCTGGAGGTTGCAGAGCATGTGTGCATGTGCATGGATGGGTTATAGGTGATGTAAGCCTATATATCAGCATAATTAAGTGGAATGTAGGAGTATTATATGATCATATTGTATAATATTTATATGTTAGCTATAACCTACATTAATGGTAGTGCTTTGGAAATCAGGAACATGGTGTAGATTTAAGTATTTCTTAAGCAAGGAAGCTGCTGTGATGTCATTCATTAGGAAATACTAGTATTTGAATAAGCAGAATGCCTATTAATTGGGAAACAATACAAGTTTTCAACATCTTGGAGTGGAGACCATAACTGAACCCTAATTTAATGATAGGGTTTCTGTCAGTTACTGTCTATTGCATTATGGGATTGTGATTGAATTAGGTTGCTAATTCATTTTAAACACAAACTAATTGCTGGCAATGCTGTGCCAGCTTATGTATCCTTGATGGTCAAACCAGTGGGACAGTATGCTGGTCACTAGCACATTTGCACGTGCAATGAAGCAACCACTTGTCACATTTTAGTATTGTATAAAATTCATCTCCATTCTTTGCTATAGCTTGTTATAATAGATCCTCCCGACTCAACCATAGCGTGTTAAAATAGAGGATCCTGACTCAACCATGAACATTGAAACAGAAGATCATTATTTAGTTGGAAGGTCATTATTTAATATTGGTCTAGCCTAGGCACAATGAAAAAAAAAAATGTCTGCTCTCAGATTTCAACTTGCTTCATCGCGTTTGTCAGTTCCGAATTTTTATTATTGCACAAAATATCAAAAATTTGCAGACATTTATCTTTCAGCTGCACTAAACAGAATGCCTTTACTCTCTACATTATTTTAACTAAACAAAACCTAGTGAAACATTCAGCCACTCTATTACTGAAATATGATAATTTTATACCAATTCAACGCTTCAAATGTTGGTAGCTCACATTTGATAATTCTGACCCTTTGCTACTTCTAATGCCCCCAATTTTTTGCTTGGGTTAAACAATAAGAACAAACATTTGAAGAGGTAAATATAAAGAGCATAGTAATTTCAGTTCACTACTAAAAGGCATACACAACCAGATAAACATCCAAGTTCTCTGGAAATAGACAACTCACCTGCAGATAGTCAATCCTTCTCTGCCAATTGCCAAATAAGAGAGGCAACATGGCAAAAGGCAAAGACGGGTTATCAGAATGCCCAGTAAATGGTTGGTGCTAATTTCTGTTAGTAAGCATCCAAAAATAATAATAATAATAATTAAACAGCAAGCTCAACAAAGTTATAACTTATAGCTATGAAATAGTTTCTTCACTCTGTTGAATAGAACAACTCAACATAGCTATGAAATAGTTTCTTCACTCTGTTCTCAAGAGCTGTCTAATCACTCAAAACAAACTAATTAGGAGTTCCATAGATTATGTTTTCCTTCTACTAAAGCACACATAAAAGCATCTTGAAAAAGATGTGGAAATTGCCAGAAACAGGTAGTCAATTCCCTAAAACTTCTTCAGTCAAAGCCTCAGATGAATCCAGTTCCAAAATGCAGCGGCCCATCATGATGGAAAGATTTTACACACATTCTTAGATCAGTAGCTTCTCAATGGCATCCTGCATTTCAAAAGATTGGAGTTCAGGTTTTGAATATGATTACAGAAGGAAAATGCTGCAGAAAATGAGATCAAAGAAAAGTTACCTTAAGTTGCTGAATTTGAGTTCTCAACTGGCTTCCCTCGTTACTTGTCACTGAACAAGCAATAACTGGTCTCGTAACACCACATGCTCGACCAAGAGCTTGTTTTGAAGGAACAAAAACATAGGGCACATTCTGCAAAAATTGAATTTTAAAGATTAATGATTCCTGACAATTGAGAGTAGGTATTTTCTCAAGCTCTTCAGTTTTTGTTTTAAACAAAATTGAATTTGTGTGACAGCTGTTGCATGTGTCTAAAAGTTAAAAGTGAGGACACTGGAAAACAACTAAATTACTTGCAGAAAAAATTAAAAATAAAAGAAAAACTAAATTACAGAATTGGTTAATTTTTCTCATTCCATTTACTGCCACAAATGAAGTATTTCACACCAATGCATCACTGATATTTAAATACCCACGTTACTAAGAAATATATTAAGAAGCACCCTACTAAAATTCATCTAGAATGCATACTTCCATCTTTCGTGTCCATTTACATTGTCCGCATGATCAAAGAATAATCTGTGAATTCTGTTACAACTTAAGTAGAGAAAGAAACTATATAACTTGATGAATCTTCAACAGTCTAACTCATCTAAATGCAATCAACTTGTGAGCAAATTAGTTGACCGACCAGCGTTTCTGGTTCTGTTAATAATAAATGCCCTTCTGCTTTAACTTTTTAGTAATTTGTCATTGCAACACTTTATTTTCTGTTTCAGGCTAATTTAACAATCATTCTCATTTTTATTTTTCAATCCCTAATGCTTCGTTTGGTAGGAAGGAAGGAAAAGGGAAAAGGGAAAAGGGGTGGAGAGAAGTTAGGAAGGAAGAAACAAACTTCCTTTGTTTGGTTGAGAGGAGACAGGGAGAGGAGAAAAGAGGATGGATGAGTCATCCTTCTTGCTTTACGAATTTTACATCCCTCCAAATATGGATAGAAGAGAGGAAGGAAGAAAAACAAGACTGTTACGGAAATTTTATATTACAAAATTACCCTTCATAATTATAAGGTAAACCCAATATTAGCAATCTCTCTCCTCCCTTCTCTTATACCTCCTTCCCTTCTCTTCCATCCAACTAGACAAAAAAAAAAAAAAAAGGAAGGACATTATCCTTTCCATAGGGATGTGAGGATGTCTCATCCATCACTTCTTCTCTCCTTTCTATTCAATTTTCTTCCTTCCTACCAAACGGAGTATAAGAAAATGGAGGGAGAGGAATTTTCTGAATGTGACTTTGGCAAATAAGAAAGACAAATTCAGGCTCCCATAGCTTTGAAGTGTTTGAAAAATTTCTTTACCAAACTTAGCATGCATTTTAGTTCCGAATTTTTTTCTTTTTTCACTGCCCTTTCAACTGGTAGCACTTTGCACTTTTGCTCCTTCTCAATAGTGAAGTTAATCGTGTGCATTGTGCACGGTCATATCATCTACATCTACAACTACTCTCTTTCATCATGTCTTGGATTAGTGAAAATTCAAATTTCTCACCATTGTATCAACTTCCAAATTTCAGCAACATCTAGTTTGTTGACATGTTCCTAAACTATGCAACATACTAACCCCCAAAGCTTGAATGTTCTTGCAGCATCTCACAAAATCCACCCCTTAAGTAGTTAGGTAAACTTGTAAAGGCATATCATACAATACTCCAGAAAATTTCTCCATTTATCCATCCCAATCTAAACCACGAGCAAAAATCCAATTTATCTCTTCACTGCCCACTAAATTTCATTCCCTCATATTTGTTTCTAGTTTTACTAAACATCTTTCAGCAAAACGATTTAAAATATCCTTCATCCACCATTTTGTTAATCTTTACTCAACATAATTTTAATAAAACAGAAGAAAGAAACCGAAGAACAAACACACACAAAATTTTGCAAACACCCTGCGTACAATATATACCTGGACAAAATATAATAACAAAATTTACCTTATCTTCGGCAAGAAGTGGAAGATGAAGGAGGATTTCAAGAGGCTCAGCATCTGCCGCCATTACAACAAATTCCGAAATTCCTCTATTCAGAGTCTTAGTAGCTGAAATTCAAACCAGAATCTATATTAAGGAAATACCATGACATTAAAAGCAATAAAGAAGACCATATTGGCAAAACAACACATATATAAATCGAATTAACTGGGTATACCTTCATTAGCACCCTTTTTGAGTTGCTTGTAGTTTGCAGCCTGTTGAATAAGATCCAGTATGGTTATGGCCAACTGAGAATCTGCCAGTGGATACGCTTTTGGGTTCACAGCTTCTGCAGTCTGTATATGTATTTGTATATATATAAGTATACACACACAGGCAAACACATATAACACAATTACAGTTATCAAGCAATTAGAACTTGGCAAAGGAAAAAAATATATAACAATAAAAGTATCGAATATCAAACTCTAACTTGGAGAGAGAGAGAAGAGCGTACCATCTCGGCCAAGCTCTGAAAAGTGAGAACACCTGCAGAAGAGAAAACTAGGGTTGTCTTGGAGTACGGTAAAGTAAACGGGTTTAAAGAGGCCGAACGGGGTAGACAAATTAGGGTTTTAGGGGAGTTGGGTCGTTGGGTCGTTGGGGTACGAAAGGGCAATAAAAATAAAAATAAAACTTGCACCAGCCGGGAATCGAACCCGGGTCTGTACCGTGGCAGGGTACTATTCTACCACTAGACCACTGGTGCTAGATGAAGACAAATAAATGCTAATATATTTTTCTACGATGTAAAATTGTAAAGTACCTTTCACTTAAAAAAAAAAAAATTAGAAGTCCTTGTCGCACAAATTAATATAAAAGGACACTGCAGCATATAATGCCTTGTATTATTTGAATACGAATGTCACGCATTTCATTTTTCACCTTATCAAATGGTGAACTCATTATACAATAAATGTTTAATAATAAGTATACAGGGTTGAAATATCTTATCAAATTGCTATATTCATTTTATGAATCATACTTATTAAAAAATAATTATTAATTATAGCTTGTATTGTTGCAAGCCCGTATAATAAGCAGTCGACTAATATTTATTGAAGTTGAGTCATGCATTCGAGTTTTACGAAGATGGTGGAAAGGAATTAGTTGGACCAACAGGAGTGTTTTACTTTATTTATTCCAAATTTCTATCATGAGATGTCAGTGTTAGAATTTTTAGTCTGATGTGAGATGTGAGATAGATGAGTGGTGAAGATTTGGAATTTGACCGAGTAATTTCCACAAGATATACATGTGCATATTCACAATCATGATTTTATGATTTATACTCTAACTCTAATCATGTGAATTGCAGCATATTGAATCACAATCATGATTTTATCCACTAGCATGTGATTTGCATTTTGAATCATGATGGTAAGCCAAAGTATGCAATTCACATGATTTAATATCATGATCTTGGGTTGAAAAGTGAAATGGTCTGATCTCAATGTTTTGTTTGGTTTGTAATTCTGAGAACAATTTTTTATTCTCAGAAATTAAAAATAAAAAATTATAAGAAAAACTGTTTTCAGAATTACAAACCAAACAAGCCCAATTCTCTTAAAACAGCCATACCTAACTCTTTATTTGATTGATAAACATTTGATGATGAGGAGATTATTGGATGACACCTACTAGTGAGTACAAAAGTTGAAAAGCCTCATAAAACATGGAAATCTGAAAATTATTATCCACGAATTAGACCCTTTTATTTATTTATTTTAAAGACATTAACAAATAAAATCATAAAAACAGAGAACCTTTTATTAGTAATTCTTCATCAGTTTGAGAAACATCATTCTCATTTAGTATCTTGTGAAAGGCGAAGACAATACTATGTCATAAAACACAACACAACATGAAAAATATTTTAGGTTTAAACTGTTTTCAATGGAGTCGCCAGTTGTTGCTCGAAACGCTTCTTTGAGTCAAGAATTAAGTGGTTCTAGTGTTAGCTCACTTTGTTTAACGAGCAAGCCAAGCTCTTTGTGGGCTTGTTGCATGAACACTGAATCTAGATAAAAGATTTGATAAGATGACAGGCTGACTTGTGCTGCTTAACTTGGGTTAGATTTAATTTGGTTCCACAAGTTGATAGTCAGTTGCTTCTTTATAGTTGAGTAAATTCACATCTTTTAATTGGGCTCTGAGAGTTCTATTTCTCAGATTTTCTTCTTCATTTAAAGACTAAGAATCAATTGCTTAACACAAGTAAATATTAAAGAAAATGCCAATTGAATGTAAAAAAAATGAAGGAAAAAAGGTTTTATGGCCTTTATCCATTTCAATAAGGTGATACTTGATTGTTTCACCAAATCTGATCTGTTTAAATTGTTTCTTATTTGAATTTCATGTCCATGTTAAACTAGTTAGTCACATAAAAATTTGTTAAATGACATGACATGATTGTCAATGATTATCTGAAAAAAAAAACTTTATAAGATGAAGTTTTATGGTAATAAATAATTATGCATTCTTTGTTGGGTATTATGTTCTTAAAACACTTGTGTTGACTATAAAATGCAGATATTTTTCTAATTAAAAGGATTGGTAGTGAATAATCCATGCATTAAGCACCCAAATATCCCTGAAAAGACAAACCATTTATTTGAATTCATGTACCCAGTTGTGGATTCATTATTGGGTAATTAGGGTCACAGAAGATGTGTGGTGACTACAAAATGCCATTTATTGGTAGTTAATATAATTCATGCATTAAGCACCCAAATATCCCTGAAAAGGCAAACCATTTATTTGAATTGCTGTCGTTGATAGTTATGTTCTATCAGCAGCCTCTATCATCCTTTACAAGGTTATGCGCTGGCTGAAAAAAAATGTCCCATCTATCCATCATTTGATGGGTAGTGTGGCGATGATGAATACTATCCACTTTAATTTAATTTTGTTATTGAGCTCGAATTTTTAGGGATTATTTTCATATATTTCATACTTGCTATATTGCTCCAGTGTAATGGTACTTATTCATTTTGAATTCTTCATATTTAGTGTCATTTTCGCATATAGTGAAATTTTTACAATCCGTAAACATAACTCTAATTTTTTTTAAATGAATTACTTAAAATCTGTGTATTCGTTTTCTTACATAGTAAAATTCTTGCAATTCGTGAACGCAACCCTAATTTTTTTAAGATGAATTTTGTGTTAATTTTCTCAACATCACTGTCATGGAAAAGATGAGAAAATCTGCCTCAATCCATTTGCATAAGATTCTCTTTTATCAGCTACGCCAAGGCAATCATTTCTTTAAGCACTAAAATACCTCTTCTTTGTCATTTTTCCAGTTGTTGACTGTCAAACCTCATCTCCACAATTTGACTACAGTGTTAATGCACTTCATCACCTACTCCTCAAACTGATCACAGTGGAGTAATAATCGATACAATGTTGACTTTATGTTGTATTGCATATGCACAACCTTTATTGATCTGACTTTTGAAGTTTTGGTTACACTGTAGAGATTAAATTTATAAAAGGGATTCAAATCACTGAGCCAAATTGCAGAAGCTGGAAGTTTTAGGTTATCTTCTATGTTTCACAGGCATTCCACTTGCAAGATGCTTCAATTCGTCAGCAGAAAAAGTGACATGAATAATTGCTTGAGAGACTTATATTGTGGTCACTATTTTTTTAACTGTAGAACTTGAGTTATAATCCATGAAATCCATCTTGGTTAGGTCTATAGTTTTGTGTACCTTTTCTCTTTTTAAAGTGAAAAGACGAGGGTTTAAGTCCGGATTTGAGAATTCTAGACAAATTTTGCCCTTTCTAGGCAAATTTGGCCCTTCAATTTGAAACCCTAAGCGACCGCATAGGCCACATAGGCCCAGAACTGACCCTGATTCAAGTGTTCATAGAGAACGGATGTATTGATTTTCTTAATAAATAAATTCATGAAATCCATCACGTTTATGCCATGAAATCACAAAAACATTGAGGAACTGGCTTAATCTTTAATCCTGAAAATGGTACTACTGTGCTAAAACTTAGCTGTATATCCTTGTGGGGACAAGATAATGAAAGTCATCACTGATAGAACACCATAATTTGGCCAATTTAAAATTTTTTATTAGGAAATTATTGGTCAAAATCTTATTAATTGTCAGTAGCTAGTTGTTAGTCCACCTCTAGTGCAAGAAATGATGAAAATTAGTAGTTGATGGTTAATTCTCTTTCTTCTAGAACTGTTTCTGCCATGGCAATGTCCGCAATCCTAGTGTTGCTCAACCTAAGAAGAGGTTTATGTGTAATGATTGCAGATCGACTCCATTTTTTGTTGCATAGAATTTCTTCTAGGAACCGTTAATGGAAACTTGGAAATGGAATTGGTAAATAGGTAAAAAACAATTAAGAAGTAAATGAAATGAAAATCAAACACCTTACTAAACGCACACAGATTTAACGTGGTTGGAACTATAAACTACGTCCACAATACACGAAGAAGAAAAGAGATATATAAGTGTTGGCACCAAAACTTGGCAGCCACCTCAGCGGTGACATGTACTAGTGAGGAGCCGACAAGTGTTTCTTATGTATCAAGGAAAGACGGCCAGTTGAGCAACAAAATGAGAAAATTTAGGAGTTCAGCCACCTTATCAAATAAGGTTGCCGCTGAAATATGGTAATTGATATTTGATTTAATTTAAATAGGTTGTTTGACTAGGAAAGAAACACTAGGGGATTTAGCTAAAATGAAATCCCTATGAAATAGGGATTCAATTGGAGAAGGAATTCCAAAAAAAGGGTAGACCCATGACTGTTTCAACAACGTTTTGGCAACTTGTATTTGACTATATCAAGGTGGGTTTTTCAGCAAGGATTTTCTACTAAAGTAAGACGAGAAAGGAAGAAGAAGAGCACTGGGTTTTGACATAGTTTGAATTACAAAAAGAAAAAAATCAAGGAGAAGAAGAGATTTTCTAGCAAAAAATTAAGAAAATAAGTTAAGAAAGAATTCTATAAATAAGAAAGTTATAATCCTATTTTAATTCGTCCAGCACCAACCACAAAAATCCAAAATTCATCAAATGACAACGTCATCTTATCTTCAAATATTTTGTCCAAATGGTAAATTTTATTGGAAGAATATGAATTCCAGTAACTTATCATTTTTTTAGCAATGCTTAATTATGCTATTTATAATTTAGTAATTATTTTATGCAAACGGATTCAAATGACAAATTTTTTATCAGATTTATGTCACTTTAATTCGGCCTTTTCCATTCTATTGCAAACATTACTGTAATGTCTTTAACTTTATATATATATATATATATATATATATATATATATATATATATATATATATATATATATATGTTAAAGTTAAATAAAATGTTATTCACCTGTGGGGCCCACATGATTTATAAGCCAATATAATGACTTATTTCTTCTTCTCTGCGTATTAGTCTCTCTCTCATTCCAGAAGCTCTCTGGGCTTTTTTTTCTTTTTATGGTTTCAAGCTTCAAGGCTTAATTTTTCTCTCATCTCTTATCGGATTAAGGTGCCGTTTGAGGCAAAACGAAGCCCACGACGAGCTCTACGCATCCATACCAGAAATTCCAGCTTTTGATCCT